CAAATACAGAATGTGTTTTAAAGTTAGGATAAATGAAAAATATTTTTTAAAAACAATAATTTTCTTATTATCAAAAGTTAAATCCTTTCTGTAAAATGGTGACGCAAATAAAAAAAAAGGTAAATTTCTTACAGAGAAACAGCTGGCATCGTTTTTCCGTTCTTGGATATATATGTATCTATATTTTCTTTTGGATCAAAATGTGACATCTGGAATAATATAGATCAGAGTCTCATTCCTCTCAACATCTGTATGATCACCTCTGGTGCGTTGTGGTAGTTGCCTTTAACAAACTAGTTTCATGTTTTGAGGCACCCAGCTGCTGTGAGGACACAAACCTCGTCCCTGCACAACAGACGAGCGCAGATCGTGTTTATCCGTCATTCAGAATCATTTTTTCTCCTGATGCCGCTGCAGAAAACAAAAAAGAGATCAAGGCGACTAATGACACATGGCGCCTCCATCTACAAGGCCAGCGCACCATGTCACCATATTGTGATTACCCTGTGCTGTTGTAAATATGTGTTTCTCTTGGGTTTACATAAATTTACATACATTTGAAAACTCCTCGAATGGGAAACCATTAGAGACGACGTCAGCGCTTTCCTTTGCTGTTTTTCACTTTCCATCTCTAAATGGAGATGGCCGTGCAGCGGACGACGGAGGGGGCGTTCGGTGAAGAGAGCTGGAATAGAGCGGTCGGTCTCAGCTTTATCTGCAGCACACGGGGAGGCAGTGTGGCTCTCGCTGTGCCTCAGTCAGAGAGCGTTAAGCCTTGAGAGACCCAGGTCTGCACAGAGAACTTGACATTGTTCATAAATCCCTCAGGATCTGACTGAATTAACGACACTCGTTTCAGAGTCCCTTTTTATACAGCAGCACTTTTGGTGATGCTTTTATTTGCAAATTGACATTATTATTATTTACTAAGTGCAATGATGTAAAATGTTTAATTATGATCAGAAAGCTCAAATATACTTCAAATATTTTTTTCAGATTGTGAATTATTGCAGAGAAACTTCTTTTAAAGTTTTATATTCTTTATACAACAGCTTTGAAAAAGTAATTGTATGTATGCGTCTGCTTTGTGATGAGAAATTTTAGCTCCTGCAAAGACACAGTGGTTTTTCTAAGTTTGATTCATTTCACTGCAAAATAAATAATTTCCATCAAATCTAATGTTGATGTAAATTTTATTTATATATATATAGATATAGATATATACTATTATTACTATTATATATAAAAACCCTCAGATTTGACCTTCATTGCCTTTATTTTAATACCCTTTATCCTTGACAAACAGAATCTTGACTTGATAAATTTTTTTTGTTTGTTTTTTGTATTTCTGTGTGCAGAAAACTACAACCTTGTTTTCCAGCAATGTGGAACAAATGACAGATGTAAAAAACAAAAAGGGAACAGCTCAACAGTTTGCAAATAATTTTGTAAATTATTTAAAAATTGGGATCACTGAGGATTATTGGAGAAAACTACCTTTTTATTTTCTTTTAGCAACTATATGTAACATTTAAGCAACAAGCATGCACGTTTAAAGCAGCGTTTTCACGTTTCTCTTCATTTCTGATTTTATTTGATCAATAGTTTAAAGTCCTCTTGTTGTTTCATGAAATTTAAATCATTTGAGGTTGTGTGACTGCTCAGACTGTGCCTCAGTTTCCTTTTACAACTTGAAGTGTTCTGCAAACATGTTCTCACCTGTGATCTGCTCAGAATGGTTTAAAGAGCCGACGTCCAGAGAAGCTGGTGACGTTTCTGTGCTGTGCTAATACACAACTCTTACAATGAATAAGAGATAAGAGGTTTGTTTTTCTACAATGGTGTCAAAAAGTGCTGCTTACTTACAAAGTTTTTGAATGCATGCTCTATTTACGTTTTTTTATATCATTCATTCTGCTCCTTTCATATCAATTTTTTTAATTTATTGAGCGAAACATAAAAGGTAATTTGCCATTACAGTTGAATATGTGGTCTTGTTTATTTTATTATTTTATTTACAATAATATGAATACCTGTTTATGTATCATGACAACTTTATAGTGTTTGACAACATATGTTTTGTTCTTTCGGCTGCTCCCTTCTTCAGTGGTCACCACAGAAAATGAACTTGCATGGATATTTGCCAATAGTTGTTACGCCTGATGCAACCACAGACCACTGTGTGGAGCAGAGGGCTACCATGTAGGGCACCTGGGGGAGCAGATGTGAAGGGTTAGGGCCTTGCTTTGAGTGGGGCAAATGAGGGTGGAGGCAGGTTCTTCACTTTTCTCATCCAAATTTAGTTGTGACCGTCAGCGGATTAGAACTGGTGACCTCTCAATCACAGGCTCACCTCCTCCAGGACTTTTTAAGAAATTATTGGTTGGGAAAAGGTACTTTACAAATGTATACAGCATGTGTGTATTCTGTACTTACAAGTTATGATTACAACAAAAGACGAAAGCTTTTACTGAACTGGTGACATGTCCATGTTGTATCCTGCTGCTCACACACCCACTGCCAGACAAAGACAACCACTTCCTGCGACCTTGGACAGGATGAACACATTGACTAAGTGGATATTAAACATTTAAATTGTTTGTAGATAAAAAATTCAAAAAGGGAGGGTGGCGAAGTTGGGTGAAAAAATCTTGATAGAGCGAAAACAAATCAGATTTTAACTTGTGCTTTTATGATGTGGAAAAATGGAAGTGCTTTTGACAGTCCTACTGAAAACCATCACTCTGCATAAGTAAACCTTTATACTGCCTAAAAATATATCATATATATGTATATACGTATGTATATGTATTCAGCTCTTTTTTTTTTTACTTCCATTAGATTTTAGTCTTAACGATGCTATGGATGATGCTGAACAAGTTGTTTACTCCCTTCTATACATAGCAAGCACCTTATTTTTAATAAATCAAATGTTGCATTATTGACAAAGTTTGAGAAGTTATTTGTTGCGAGCTCCCGGCGAAGCTGTGCCTGTTGTAATCAAACATCCAGCAGTCCCAGGAGGTCAAAGTGTTCTCATGTAACGTCTCATTGATAAGAGCAGCAAACACCTCATTTACAGGAACCTTAGGCTATAAGATCAGGTACTTTAAAAGCCATCCCGACACATTCAGACCCCGCTTGTGTGCAAGCAAACAAAACACCTTGATATCGCCACAACTAAACTAGGATGATTCTGTCTTAATGTCCCATTTCAGGGACCAAAGAGCCCAATGGTCTTTATGGCTCCGCAGAACTGCGGCTAGTAATGTTAGACGCAGCGGGGCTCCTGCCGTACAGATGCTCAAAGTGACAAGTTCACCAGAGCTAGGCAACATCAAGAAGCCGCAAGATTGGCAGCTTTTACGCCTCTGGTCCATTTCATCGACCATTATCAAGCAGCAGAGTCAACATGCTGCGGTGTAGAAGACGGAGGGGGAGGCAGATTAACAGAGAGCTGATACAGGTGTACAGGCGGTATCAAACAGCCGCTGTCAATACAGCAGCCTCCAAATTTCTTCAGATGGGGCTGGGATTCCCACAGCCTATACTGGTTTGACTATGACAGGATTAACAGGAGCTCCGTATGATTTTCACAGATTCTGTGACTCAACAATTCAGTGATCCACGCTCTATCGGCTTTGAAGGCCCCCTATCCCAAGTTTCAAAAGCTTACCCTTCAGACCAGGTACACTCTTTTCTCCTGGCTTTCCTTTTTTTTTTTTTTTTTCCCCGCATCCTCTTGTTCACCAATCCCCTCCTCTACGTCCTCACCAACTCTCACGTCCTGCCTCCTCTGCACATCTGCAAGGTTTGGGTTTTCCTTTCTTCCCTCCATCGCCTTTGCTTGGCCCAAGGCCCTTATAGCTAAATTGGTTTACATTGGAGAGATAAATGCACTGCAAATGCGCTTAAACACGTACAGTGAAAAATGCAGACAGTGCGTGTCAGGATTATCACCCAAGTCAGGGGGAGAAAGGAGAGCGTCTCTGGCACAAAGCTGGGGAGCCAGAGTGAAGCCTGCAGATACAGTCCGTCTCATCCACTTCTCAGAAGAAAGAGAGAAGGATTTAGCATTTGCATGCTAGTCTGTAATTCCCAGCATTATATAACTTGTCGCCAACAATCAAACTCCACTGGTATTGTGCAAGTATTGTTTCACGCGGGTGAGCGAAGTGTAGAGTTACACTTTGTGGGAAGGTGCTGCTTAGATACAAGATGCACGGCAGAGACCACCTTATAAGCCCAATCAAGAGCAGCTGTTCTGCAAAACAACCTCAAATGATTGTCAAAGTATGACATTTTAGCCCATGTGACTCATTTGGGGATGGCGAGTGATGGGTTGAAAGGTCTGAAGCCTCTGGAGAACAAGTTCAAGAAACACAAATCTCAGAGATCAGGTTTACTAGAGTCAGCGTGCAATGTGTGGTGACACTTGAACAATTCCTTCTTTCAGATGTGTGTGTACTGTCAACAGGAGGTAAAGTGTGAAGGAGCTGTCATGGCACTCCCACTTCGGAGTTTAGATCAGTGTACAGCAATCATGCTGGAACACAGCTGAGATCGTTTTTGTGTATTTTTGTTGTGAAACATTATGGAGCTTGGCCCTTTGTGTGTATATTTAATGTAATTGGCAAGCTTAATGCAAGACCCTTATTTTAAAAACAATAGTGTTGTAACGTGCTGTATTCTGTTCACATGCGCAAAGTATTTACAACTCCATTATTGAAAAAGTTGGGGTTTACTATTCAGTATGATAGATATATAAAAACAATGGTTTCAGTTTTAAAAGGTCATTTAAAAATTTAAATAACATCAAAATAATTGCACTAAGCCTGCAGGTATTGAAGCTATTAGCTTGAGTTAGTCTCTCCATAGCACTGAAACTGCTCTACTGAAGGTTTTTAACGACATTTTCATATCCACAGACGCAGGTGATTCTGTGCTGCTTGTCCTATTGGACCTTACATCTGCTTTTGACACCATCAACCACAAGATCCTCATTTCTAGACTGGAGCAGTGGGTGGGCATCACAGGGTCAGCCCTTAAATGGTTTGGGTCCTACCTCTCTGACAGAACCTTCTGTGTCAATATCAAAGATTTTAGTTCGGCATCGACAGCGCTCCAATGGGGGGTACCGCAGGGGTCCATCCTCAGTCCCCTTCTCTTTTCTTTATACCTGCTGCCACTAGGTGCTATCTTCCGCAAACACAACATACCCTTTCATTTCTACGCCAATGATTGCCAAATTTACTTCCCCCTGAGGCACAGAGGCACACACTCTATTCAGCCTCTTCTTGACTGCCTGGCTGACATCCGGGACTGGATGGCTTTAAACTTCTTAAGCTTCAATGAGAAGAAGTCTGAAGTCATGCTGTTCCATCCCAGTGGCTCACTCATGAACCGTGACATTGACCTTTTCTCTCTAGCCCCGCTAGAGAAACAAAAGGTCACTAATCTGGGGGTGATAATGGACCCGTCCTTAAAACTCAACAGTCACGTAAACATGATGGTCAAATCCTGTTTTTTTCAGCTGAGACGGCTGTCTAAGCTGAAGCCTATACTCTCCAAAAAGAACCTTGAGACAGTGATCCACGCCTTCATAACATCTAGGCTTGATTACTGCAATTCACTTCTGTTTGGAATCAGTCAGTCCTCCATTGCTCGTCTACAACTGGTCCAAAATGCTGCAGCCCGATTTTTAACTGGTACAGGCTATAGAGAGCACATCACGCCAGTTTTGGCCTCCCTGCACTGGCTACCCATTTACCTTCGGATCCAATTCAAAATTCTCATGTATGTTTTTAAATCACTGAACAGTTCCGCCCCATCCTATCTCATTGATCTTCTGCAGCCATATGTCCCACCGTGCTCTCTGAGGTCAGTAGACCAGATGCTTCTCTCAGTTCCAGAAACCCGTCTTAAGCTCAGAGGTGACGGGGCTTTCTCTGTTGCAGGTCCACGACTGTGGAATGAGTTGCCACTGAGTGTCCGGCAGGCTCCCACACTCTCAGTCTTTAAGTCTCGCTTGAAGACCCACTTCTATTCTCTTGCCTTTAACACGGTGCGATTTGTTTTGGTCCGGTCTGTACTCTACTCTGTTGGCCATTTTAGTTAGCTTCTGCTGCTATTTGTATCTGTTTTTCTATTTTATGTTTTCCTGTCCGCTGTGCATGTTTGTTTTCTTTTGTACAGCACTTTGGTTGGCCTTGTTGCTGTTTTAAGTGCTCTATAAATAAATTGGTATGGTATGGTATGGAGTTGTTTTAAAAGAAATGGGGAAAAGACAATAAAGACAAACATTTTACAGGAATTGACATCATGCCTATTAGCACATTTTATACCTAATTACAAACCGGATTCCAAAAAAGTTGGGACACTAAACAGACTGTGAATAAAAACTGAATGCAATGATGTGGAAGTGCCAACATCTAATATTTTATTCAGAATAGAACACAAATCACAGATCAAAAGTTTAAACTGAGAGAATGTATCGTTTTAAGGGAAAAATCTGTTGTTTCCAAATTTCATGGCGTCAACAAATCCCAAAAAAGTTGGGACAAGTCCATTTTTACCACTGTGTGGCATCCCCCCTTCTTCTTACAACACTCAACAGACGTCTGGGGACAGAGGAGACCAGTTTCTCAAGTTTAGAAATAGGAATGCTCTCCCATTCATGTCTAATACAGACCTCTAACTGTTCAATCGTCTTGGGCCTTCTTTGTCGCACCTTCCTCTTTATGATGCGCCAAATGTTCTCTATAGGTGAAAGATCTGGACTGCAGGCTGGCCATTTCAGTACCTGGATCCTTCTCCTATGTAGCCATGATGTTGTGATTGCTGCAGAATGTGGTCTGGCATTATCGTGTTGAAAAATGCAGGGTCTTCCCTGAAAGAGATGACGTCTAGATGGGAGCATATGTTGTTCTAGAACCTGAACATAGTTCTCTGCATTAATGGTGCCTTTCCAGACATGCAAGCTGCCCATGCCACAAGCACTCATGCAACCCCATACCATCAGTGATGCAGGCTTCTGAACGGAGCGTTGATAACAACTTGGGCTATCCTTGTCCTCTCTG